GAGAGAGAGAGAGAACGCGCTGGAGAGCATAAAAACGAAATGGAACAGCGCGGGATGCATTATAGACGGAATCACTATATCAGCAAGTGAAAGCCAGCCGCAGACTGGAGCGCACGCACACACGCACGCACGCCCACAGACACGCACACACGCACGCACGGCCACATACACTCACGCACGCACACAACGTTACGAATACACAGTCAAGCACATTGGCAGCAGTCAGGCACGCACCAGCGCACACACGCGAGCGCTCACACGCGCACGCACGCACGCACGCACACGCACACACAAATATATATATAGGTATAAGTATAACTGAAATTCTGTTTCCAATTACAGTCCCATTCGCTAACGACAGCCCGGGATAATGGCGTCGGAGTGTTTTCCTTCTGTGAGTGATTGCTGAGTACAGCGTCGGTGAAGGATGAGTTGGCACATACCTGTACCTTGTATACGCGCGCGTGCGTGTGTGCATGTTTCCGTGTGTGTGTGTATGTACGTGCATGTTTGCGTGCGTGCTAACGTGTGTCCGTACGGGCATGTTTGCGTGTGTGTGCGTGTGTGCGTGCGTGTGCGTTCACGGCTTCACCTTACATACACTTATACGGGGAAACAATAATTGGACACGCGTATTGTCAGACGGAAACAAGTATCGGATAGCTAAAAGCTCGTAGAGTAACGATGTCGCCGTTGCCTCGCAACAATTATCGTGGCTATATATACTCTGCCTGGATAACCTACATTCAAAACTACAGCCGCGCCCTAGATCACTCTATTACACTGTATTACATAACGTAAGTATCATATATTTATATATATAATATATATATATATATATATATATATAAATGTTATATGCGAGCATTATACACGTACATGTATCATATACCTACTATATGTATGATGTACATGTTTAAGACAAACGCACCGAACAATACAGGATGCGTTTACATCGGGGATGAGGCCGAGTGATTTACTGCGTATATATACATACATGATTATGCAACACATCGTGTGCATAGATAGAAGCTAGCGGATTAGCATAGAGCTGCACCGCCGCGCAGTGAGAAATTACTGCCAACTGATGAATCAGCGTGACGTAATCGTCGGCCACAATTAACATGTTCATCATCAGCAGCAGCCAGATGGATGGGCGCGGCTGGGCCTCGCTGCTGCTGCGTCCTCACAGCCCGCAGCCTCCATCGCGTGAGTGACCCGCATGTACGTCTGCTTGTCGCTGCATGATTATGCTGTGTCTTCATTTGTTGTGCAAATACGTTGCACGCACGCAACTATGCTAAGGACGTGACCTCAACTCTGGGAGATCGATTCTTTCGAATAGCTATTGGAATATCTCTCTCGCGCTCGCGCTCGCGCTCTCTCTCTTCTGTCTCTCTCTCTATCTCTCCCCTCCTCTCTCTCTATCTATCTGTCTCTTTATCTCTATCTATCTATCTATCTATCT